ACGTTCGATCACAGGCCTTGATGGGGTCCGCAAGAGACTTGTAGCGAAGTCCGCCTCAGGTTTGGACAATTGGCATCACAGAATTTCAACCATCTTTAAATTATCGCCGACTGATACCAACTATCGACTTGTAGATTTTCGGAAAACTTTTCAGTTTCCGAAATTCTAAACTGAGGCAATTTTTTTCTTGCAGCACGTCATCGGCGGCTGATCTTGTAACAGCATCGTCCTTTGACGATTTCGTTTGCTGCGTCTTTAATATCTGGGTGCGGCTGAAAGCTCTTTATAGACTTTCGGCGAAAATTTTGGAAAGTTAGTTAAAAATATTATTTTCTGCGCCGAGCCTTCTGCTTCTCATGGGAGGTAGTTTGGTTCCCCTTGGACTTGGGACCTACGTAAAATGGTTGAAAAGAAAAGTTCTGATTGGAAAGATGAGCGAAAATTTGAAATGATATAATGAAAATCGAAATACGACATTCCGATTTTTAGATAAAATAACACATTTTAGTGTTTGTAAATAAATAATCCCTGACTCGAATGATTGGTCAGTGGCGACGAAGCATTTGAAGAGTAACCACTAAAGATGGTGGCAATGAAGAACAGTGAAACATTTGGAGGCCTTGGATGCGACCACGTTTCACAGAAGAACCGAAATGAACATCAAGGCAGGAATAGACATTCTGACAACGGATTCATCCCCACCGAGCCTAGCCCAAGAACAAGGGCAAACTAAGATTGTTAGCTAGTAACCCGAAAAACGAACGTACTACCAACGTAAATATCAACACTGACCGTAAAAGCCTTAAAACCGTTAAGCGACCCTTTTTCATAACATCTATTCGATTTTCGTTGGGGCAAGATTTACGCGTAACAGAGTATAACTCTTGGAAAGTTTGATAAAATGATTGGCGTAGAAATTTTGTAGTTCGTTAGGTATCAGGATGTATACCCGTATGAAAAAGATTTCAGGATCTTTTGTAATTGTACCAAAAGTTATATTTCTAGAGAAAAAATTTAATAAATTTTTTGTCAAACGAGTAAATAGTTCTAAAAACCGTGAACTTTTGAAATCCCACATGCCTAGATCGTGTGGGTTTTCTCGTTACATCAATATCTTAACATTGTTTCCTTATAAAATACAGCGCCACAGGTACATACACATCATTTTTGTGTACAAAAAAAGGTCACATGTTCAATACATGGACATGACTGTGGCGTTTCTCAAACAGCCTGCTCATTGGAGTCACCTTTACTAAAATTGTGTTTGATCTGAAATTAAATTTCACTGTTCTTTTAAACGCGGTTATTTTGAATGACGATTGTCGATCCCACTCTCAATGGGCCTTTCACTGTTCCATTATTTAATTTTTCTTTACACCAACTGAGGCACTAATTGTTCCCTAATTCATTATTGCTAATTATATGGGTTCAAATACAAATATTAACCAAAAAAATGATTTTTCACACATTTTATTGTAGGAGGTTGTATAGATGTAAATTATTTATGAAAGGTACATAGAATAAAAACAAGGTGTCTATGTTTTGGGTCTATATAATAAATTAGCGTTCTCTAAATCAATTTCAGTAAATCGTACACATTCTGCAGTCTGTTAAGTAAATATAGATATGGTCCAAGAAATTTGATATGAACGCTTGAACTGGAAAAAGTATATAGCTGGAAAGTACATTCATCTGAAATAATCTGCGTGTATATCTCTTTATACCGCTGGATTCTAGAAATATTTTCTCGAATAATGTTATTTCTTCACAGCGACAGGATATCGGTTTCTCAGGATTATCCATGAGTAGGGATAGTAAGAAATACGTGACAAATCAAGTACAACATCGGTCACGTCGATACCTAATTTCCGACATCATTCTGAATTTCTGTCTTATTCAGCCAAATCTGTTATTGTTTGAAAATGCCATGCTCATAATACATCAAATAGCAGTAAGTACCTAGCATATACAGGGTGATTTCACTTTAAATACAGAAACTACAGGAATAGATTAGTTGACAAAAAATAAGTAGAGTTTGCTCTATAAACTTTTTTCCTGGGCGGCGTGGTATTTGAGATACAGGGTGCTCAAGTTTCCGAAAGAAATTATTTTTTTTTTAATATTATGCCGAACGATTTGAATGAAATTTATTACAGCGTATTCACTTAATTAGTTTTTTTTTACTTATTTTTTGGTAATGAATCTAGTCCTGCAGTTTCTGTATTTAAAGTGAAATCACCCTGTATATACAATCATAGAGACGTATAGCAATTACTAGATTCCGTAACTAAACCTACCTCTATATAAAATTATTTTGTTTAGACACTGAAAAGAATCCGCCAAAAATTTTCTATCCTAATGGAACCTTTTATCCCATGCAAGTGAAATTTGATATATTCAGTATCACTTTGGACACAATAACCGCAATGAATTTGTTGATTTAGCACGTGAGATAACTTTTTATGTTCTTAGCATAATTTATTACTGGCCATCAACAACGCTTTTCGAAGCAAATAGTATTTAATTGTCGTCAAAAATATGATATATTTCATAACAAAAGCAAAATTACGTTTTGTGAAACTGAGGAACTTAGAATTAAATATTCTTTTGTGCAAATTAATAGAAACGAATGATGTAAATCAATAAAAAAAATATTCGTATTCGCTTAAGGCTCCCCATTTTGCAAAATAAAAGTCTTTGTTTATACTAAACTAACATTGGATTTAAATTTAGTCAATTTTGTTTAAAATAATTCCATGTACGCGAAATATTTTACCACTTTGTATATTATTATGACGGGTCAAACGAGATTTCATGTTATTCTGGAGTCACCTGGACCATACTAGTACCATCGATTGACTTTTCCAGTTTTATCCAGAATAAACAAATCTCTAAACTCTGCCAGCTCAAGGTTTGGCAGAGATCAGAGCTTTCTCTGCATTACGTTAGGTAATGTAAGATATTGATTAGTAATCACCAGTAACACTACGCAAGTGAAAGCGACATTAATATAATATTAGTTCAATTCGAGTTAGCATTAGGTAGATTATTCTAGTTTCCTTTAGGAACAGTATGGCTTATATAGTAAAACTGATTTTGTCCACAAATAGTTGACTATGTAGTGGTTTTGCAATTTTACTTTATTGTGAAATCAAATTTTGTTGGTAACTTATACAGTGTGTTTCAGGATTGACTGGCTAAACTTAAAGTTTTAATTTGTGTTGTCAAAATAAGTAAAAGTCATATGCAGAATATTCTTCGCTTTTGGGAATGGGAGGGTTGAAATTGAAAGAATCGTATTTCCTGAAACGTCTCTGGCATTTGACATGGACTGGAGATGTTTTTAATTGTTTACATAATGTTAATTTTCTGTCAAATTTCAACATCATGTATCTCTAAATCGAAGCAGTTCTATATAAAGTTTTCTTCATTTTGAATGGAAATCTCAAGTTTGTACAATTATTTCTGATGCACTCTATATAATAAGAAAATGAATGTTGAAGTGAAATAGTTCGTAAAGTTGCAAATGGTCAAATGTCAAATTTGTAGTAACTATAAACAATTCCTCACATATAGTTAATTTTTGTTTAATGCCAATACATATACAGGGTGTGGCATGTATAACCTACAAAAATTAAACTACAGCTTCCTGATGATATTTGTAATAGAAAATTATACGAAAAAGTTATATCTTCGCGTTTTTTTTGTAAATTAAAATTCATTTATTCAACGAAAATGAAGCCCGAGCCTATGTTATTTATTAAAAACTTTGGAAATGTTTTTATGCGACCCGAGACGCAACTTTATAATTTAAGTCGGTATAATCTAATACTAGTAATACTAAAAGAAGGTTAGGTTACAATGTCAAAAAGTTTGTGCAGACAACTGATTTTGTATTTGTATTGAATTCATTATTCACTTAATTATTAAATATTAAACATTCCATCACTATTAAAAAGTGAAAGATTCCAGACAAATGTTTTTATTTTGTAATTCCACGATAGTGACAGTGTAATTTTTATAAAGAAGTAAAAAATAAGAATAGCGTGCCGATTACATTAAAAACGAGATTCTTATTTCTTCATTTGCTTAATTTTTTAGTTTGTGCACAAACTAGTTTTACAATGAACCGAGATGCATTTACTATTTCAGAACGTGTCGATATGGTGTTAGTGTATGGTGCAGCCGGAGAAAATGCGCTCGCTATTTTGATCCATAATTGAACTTTAATTTACAAAAAATAACGCAAAAATAGAACTTTTTCGTATAAGACTTTTCTATTACAAATATCGTTAGGAAGCTGTAGTTTAATTTTTATAGATTATACACGCCACACTCTGTATAGAGCAGGGCAATCAAGAAACAATTACTTAAATACCAAATTCGAAATTCGACATTTCATTCACATGCTCAATATTACATCTTTCATAGAAACGTACTAAAACGAACAAGTATCTGTGCATAAAGAAAAATCTATTTTAAATCACAGACCTAAAGTACATTTAATCCTTTAGCGTTCAGCTTCCTATAAAAAATTAAATTGCACCGATATTAAACTGAATTGCAGGCCAATTCAATAGCGTCAACGTCAGTTTGGCGATATTCTAAAATAATATCCTGAAAGCGTTTAATTAAAAGAGTATTATTACTCGGCCTTTGTATTTAATAAGTCCCGTTAATTTTCAATTTTGTTTTGTATTCGTTCCCTGTTATTAATGCTAGAGGCTTCAAAGAATATTACGAGGACTCTTCTCGTTATAAGTATTTAATAATAAAAGTCACTACAGATTAAATTATCTGAAGCGGAATGTTTTGATATTTTTATCTCTTGAAATCAGTGAAAATTAAAAAGTTTTAAAATATTAATAAATACACCGTGCGTTATAAGGAATCAGTAAACGCTATACAGGGTGTCCTGAATTGCATGAGCCAAATATTATCTGGAAATAAATAAAAAACAAAAAGGAAAATTCCTATCTAGATTTCTATAGTCAACTCACCTTAAAGCACACCATCAATGAAAAAGGCATTGTTAAAATTACGACAATCCATGACAGAACTGTCAATATTTTTCCACAGGTTCTGTTTTCTTCGACCACCGGTTCTGCTGTAAAGAATAAGAAACGCATTATCATATAAAATATTTATAATTTTCTTTAAATTAATATTGTTTAAATGTAGTTATATCTAAAATCTCAATTTTAGGAGTAATACTAATTCGATTAGCTATTTCTTTCCGGTTTATTTTTTTAATTTCATATATCCTATTTTCCTCTTTAATAATGTGAACATTATCAATAAGGCTTAAATGAAAACAAATTATGAAATTACATTCAATATTCTCTTGTATTTATATACTTATATTGCCTGTGTTCCTTTTTCCTTCTCATTCTTCCTTTAGAATTGAGTTTGCAAGAGGGTAATTTTAAGAGAAAATAATACTATGTACGCAATATATTTCTGAAAGATAAATAAAAGTACTTTTTTAAGTTCTACAAGTTACAGTTTAAAACATTTGAGTGAAGTTACGGTGTAATATATTTTTATAAAAATGTAACATACAGATGATATTTAACTGGACACTTGAAAATAGAAATATTTTATTCCGCTTATATACAGAATATCTCACAGGAAGAAATCTTAAATACAAACCTCCATTTCTTATTGCAGATTTCTAAAATCATCAACTTTCGTTCGTAAATAAATACGTAATATGATAGAAAAGTATTTTCCAAACATTCATAACATTTTCATTAAGAATTTCATGTAACACACTTTAGCGTTTCTTTAACAACTTCAATTTATAAAAACAACTTTTAAGGTATTTATAAACACAACTTTTTAAGTCAGAAGTCCCATTAAAATGATTATTTGCCAAAGAACTTCACTGAGCCGATAAAATGCTTTGTACATATTTTGTTTGATATTGCCGTGTTATGGAGAAAGGAAAAGCTGGTAATAATTTGTTCCATTACGTAAAAAATTTAATTTAAGTACGAAAACGCTACATTTGGGGAATTTTCTTATTACTTTGCATTAGCACAAACAGTATGAAAACTCGTCCCAAAAGTAAGCGACATAACCCACGTCACATTCCAGAAAAGGTCACAGAATTTTGATTAAGGGAAGGGGATTCATCTACATTATGACATTTACCTAGAGGTCTCTCAGTTAAATTAGAGCAAAAACACCGAAGTATTCTCTTAATCTGATATTTTGAAACCGAATTTATTCATTTAGTACATCATTTGAGAAATACAAGAAAATGTATCTTTCTCTGCAGTTATTTAGAAACTAATATCGAGTTCAAGGAGAATAATAGAAAACTAATACATATTAAATGTTACTGAAAAAATTATATATCAATTAAATAATAGATAACTCTCATATTTTTTGAAAAATGAGTATTATAATAGTAGATAGCTAATACGGAATACTATTGGACAATAGAACGTTAAAATATCAGAGAGAGTCAGACGTCAATTACGAATACGAAACTTTATTAAAAAAATGTTCGATAATAATAACAAAAGCAGCATAACAGCATTAGTGAAAGATAGAGTAGAGCAAATGTCCTCCTTCCATAATGTACTACTTTTTAAGCACCTAATAGAATTTTTTCAAAAGAAATTCAATATTATGATAACAGTTTGGCTTTTGAGAATAAGCCCTGGTTATATAGGTACACTATATAAGTGTTTAAACGTACGAAATATATTAGATGTGGTCCAATCACTAAAAAACTATTTGTATGTTTCTAATTAGAGCATTCATTTACGTAATATGTTACTACCTATAAGCATTTTCACGTATTTTTCAAAGCACCATGGATGTCTTAAATTATTACTTATTAACCACAGAAATAAAGTTTATATTTATTGTTAACTAGGGAACTATTTGGAGAAATTTGTAAAAGATTCTGAGGGCTATTTTGTCCTCACATGGGGATTCTTTGTATTTATGTGTTGGCATCACTGCATCTGTTGAACAGTTGATTAGAAAAAAACAAGAATTGCTGCACGTTGCGTATAGGCACACTTCGGACAGTAACATGTGCCACTTGTTGTTGATTTTCAACAGTACACACTTCTTCTTCTTCTTCTTCTTCTTCTTCTTCTTTTTCTTCTTCTTCTTCTTCTTCTCAATTGATGGCCTAACATTTAGATGTATTTGGCCAGGTTCACACCAGTACACACTTTTAGAAGCCCCTATTCGCGTTTTCCATATCTAACTACGCCATTTTTAAACTCACTCTCTTACTATTAACTAAGAAGCACAATTACGAATATTAAACTAAGGTCGCTATAAATAAATTGATTCTTTACAAATCTCTCAACAGAAAATGTTCGCTGTTCAATCGTGGAGGCAATAGTTTTTGACAACTACAGTATTTTAATACTTTGATAGTAATGTTTGGTTTACAATAAACAAACCTCCAAATTCTACAAATCGCGATTGATGCAGTATTCTGTGAAACATTAGGACATGGATTAAAAATGATAATAATCATCTTACTATTTCTATGTTGGCAACATGTTTAGGTTTTTTTTATTATGATTTTGTTAAAAAAAAGGTCATATATTGACACAGGGAACAAAGACATTTAGTTAAACAGAAGGCGGCACCAAATAAATTCATATATCACAAAATTTCTGTTAATTTATTCTTTTTAATATCAACAACTTTCCACGCAATTCTTAGTAAACATCTATTTTTACACATTAAAACTAAAAACTACATCAAAAGCTGAGACGCAGGTGTAAAAACAAACAGAAGAAAAAACGTTTGTCTCTTTGTTAATGTCAAGGGTTTTAGACTGTTGAACTAAAACGATATTAATAAATGAAACCTACAGACATTTTCCATTGAGATAAATATTAACGAGATTCTTACAAGGTTTTTCAATTAGGTACGTGGCGAGTGCAGTTTCATTTAATTTTTATTTTGGTTGTAATCTATTTATAGCGACTCTCCAATGTTCGATTTATATCTTTGAAACTCAAGAAAATGTCTTAAAACTTTGGTATTACTAGTTTTTTCCTAATAAAAAGGTAAAGAAAGTAAGAGGAGTAAAATGTTATCAATAACCTTGTACTGCTGACAAACACAGTTGTTTGTACCTGAATCAAGAGATGTATTTATAGCATTATTTGTTCAGAACTTTGGCCACCTCTTGCAGAATTTTAAGTGCGAAGAACACACATTCAGTTTTTTTCTTATAACTTATATTTTCGCTAACTTTAACATACCACTTTGAATAAATCAAAAAAGTAAAACTCTAGACTATAGGTTGAGCTACTTCTTCGTAAAGTGTTTTTAAATTCAATTTTGATACTCCAAATAGTCGGATACATTCTTTTATAGGAAAACATTCAAATATACTTGGTATTGAACAACATATGACTTCCCTCGAGAACTTTAGGAAAACTTTTACAATTAATTTGAAATGGCTTTTAAATAAAAGTACTTCTTTAATAATAAAAAGTATATGAAATACCTACTGCTAACAACTCAGCACTAGTTACCTGAGTACCCATTAGCAATATAGACTACAGGACCATCGGAAATTTTCAAGGGGTCATTTGATCCAGCATAAATTACTTATAAATCAATACTACCACATATAACAATGACTTTAGAAACTATGCCGTTGTTGGTACAGGTGAGTACACAGGTAATCTAAACCTGTCCACCAAGGGGGGTGGTTTTCGGCAAAACATTTTTGTACGGCATTTCTAAAGTATATAGGTTATACAAAAAAAATGAACCTCGACCTAATGCCGTACAAAAATAGCAATACCGGAAGCCAGGAAAATTTTTGATTTTCTGAAAATTTTGGCCCGGTTTTTAGTGGTTTACTACAGTATGACATTTATACTGCAAGTTTCGGATCGATACGTAGATAATTTTTTAGTGACGTCGTACGTATCTGCTGATACAGGGGTTAGAAATGCAGGGCACAACCCTCTATTTTAGCCCCCATTGTTTTAAGTCATTGAAAAATGTACTGCATCGATTCCACATGATTACTTAACCTTTCAAATAATTCTTAGCAACTATGCCGTCTGAAAATTATGGTTAATGCAAAAGTATATAAACAATTATTTGTATTTTGGAATTGAGTTTTATTTTTTTCGATAAAACAAACAAAACAAAATATAACCAAAAACTATCGTACTAAATCATGGCCGGTTATAATTAATGGTACAAATTAAAAATTCGAATTAAAAAACAAATAAATAAATTTTGAAAATTTACAATATTTTGAAAATTCCTTGCTTTAAACTAAAAATTTTATATTCAAAATATTATGGCAGTAATTGACTTTTCATAAGTAAAAAAATAAAGAAAACCAATGCCGTACATTTTTAACTAGTGGATTTTACATAGCTGATAATATTTTTCATTACATTTTACTACATTTTTAGGACATTAATAACTATACGGCATTTACAAATTTTCATCAGAAATATAACATAAAGAATGGAAATTGCAATGCCGTACATATTCGTTGGAAAATTCATCGAAACTGTATACGTCCAAAATGAGTTTTATCCTAATTTCAAGAAAAATGTAATGTATACCGTAGAAATTTGATGGCATTGTCTTTAAAATTAAAAAAAAAATATGTATAGAGAATCGAGAAAATATTTTGAGAAATTTAGAAATTTAATGTCGTGCAAGAAAGTATTATTTTTAAATAAATATAATAATAAACAATTATTTTTAACTCAATATTCATCAGAATTCCTATATCAACATTTAAAACAGTGATATAATATATGTTTTGAAGTAACAGTACCCTCGCATTTGCATAATTTGCAACTTCTGTTACAATTTGAACAATTTACTTATGCAAACATTATGATGAAGCCATTGGCATATAATATATGTTTAAAATTATTAAAAATAATTTAAAAGTGCATTTGTTAAAAAACAACTTTAAGATTGTTGGTCATAAACATGAATAAATCCATACAAAAATCTACACGCCAAAAAGAAAAAAGAGACAAAGAAAGAAGATGTTTTGATGGCCAGCTAGAATGTCGAAGCGGTAATTTTAATTTTAAAATAAAAATAATTCCAAATTTTTTAAAAAGTATTCTA